GGGGAACTGAGGTCCTAATGCTTTAGGACAACTAAATCTGCTGTGCTGCAACTAGAGAGCTCACGAGTCACAGAAAAGTGCGGCAAAAAGAAAAAAAAAAACACTTATAATTGAAGGAAGTCATCTCATTCATGGGCTTCTCTGGTGGCTCAGTGGTAAAGAAACCGTCTACAATGCAGGAGACGCAAGTGACGAGGGTTCAAGCCCTAGGTCAGCAACATCCTCTAGATGAGGCAATGGCAACCCACTTCAGTATTTTTACCTGGAAAATCCCAAGGACAGAGGAGCCTGGTGGGCTACAGTCGCTGGGGTCACAAAGAGCCAGACACGACCGAGCAACTGAGCACGTACGCATGATCTCCTTCACTTCTGGAAATGGTGTCATCACCATTTTACAGATAAGGACACTGAAGCTTGGGTGGTAGCATGTCTTGTGGAAAGTCATGCCCTTGAGGGCAGCTTTTGAGTATTAAAGAAAGATAAATCTGATGATTCCACCAAGATGGAGTAGCCCCATTCCTTCCTGGTCCTCCCTTTTCAACTCAAAAATCCCTGGACACTACACAACAGAGGGAGGCTCTGAAAACTGGAAAGAAGAAAGTGGGCTGCTAGAATGGGAAGCATACATCATCATCTGGCCTTCATGCTGAATTTTAACAAGAGATTGTCTGCTAAAAAGAAGACGAAATAGGATCCAGAGTAATATCTAAAACATCCAAGATACAATCAGAATCACCCATCATACTGTTGTAGGAAGGGGGACCCCCTTCCAGGGCCCGAAGTTGGGCTCTTGTCTAACACTCGGAAAAGAATTGTCCGAGGAGACAAGTGCTGACAAAGCAAGAGATTTTATTGGGAAGGGCACCCAGGTGGAGAGCGGGAGGGTAAGGGAACCCAGGAGAACTGCTCTGCCGCGTGGCTCGAAGTCTTGGGTTTTATAGTGATGGGATTAGTTTCCGGGTGGTCTTTGGCCAATCATTCTAGTTCAGAGTCTTTCCTGGCGGCGCACGCATCGCTCAGCCAAGATGAATGCTAGCAAGAGGGATTCTGGGAAGTGGACGGACAAGTAGTGTTTCTTCTCGACCTTTCCGGAACTCTTCCGGCTGGTGGTGGCTTATTAGATCCGTATTCCTTATCAGGATCTCCTGCCATAAAACAACTCATGCAAATGGTTACTATGGTGCCTGGCCAGGGTGGGTGGTTTCAATCAGTGCGCTTCCCCTAACAATACCAAGAATGGGAAAAATCACAATATGAATGAGAAAAGACAGACACCAATACTGAGATGAATTGGATAGAATTATTTACTGTTCTTATTTATAGATGACATGACTGTCTACATAAAAAATCTTAAGGAATCTACTATATCTAAAAAGAAACTAGAAGTAATGAGTTGATGAAGGTTGCAGGATACTAGCACAACACATGAAAACCCATCACATTTCTATGTACTAATAATAAATGTGTAGAAATCAAAATAAAAACCATGATACATTTACAGTCACACCAAAGAAAATGAAATATTTAGGCATAAACTTAACAAAACATGTATAGGATCTGTAAGCTGGAATCTATATAATGCTGATATAAGAATCAAAGAAGACATAAATAAATGGAGAAACATACTGTGTTCATGGATTAGAAGACTCAATATAGTAAAGATGTCAGTTCTCAGATTGATTCATGTTTAATGCAATTCCAGTCAAAATCCCAGCAAGCTTATCTGTAGACATGGACAAGTTTATTCTAAAATTTATACAGAAAAGCAAGGTCCTAGGATAGATAAGACAATTTAAAGTGAACAACATCGATGGAGAAGGAAATGGCAACCCACTCCAGTATTCTTGCCTGGAAAAGTCCATGGCCTGGCGGGCTGCAGTCCATGGGGTTACATGACTGAGCATGTGTGCACGAAGGTGGAGGGAGATGGGTTGGTAGCAATAAGGTGGTAGAACTGAAAAAAAAAATAATAAAGTGAACAACATCGGAAGAATGTTGTTTACCTGATATTAATGCCTAGTATTTGGTTATAATAATCAAAACAGCATCGTATTGATAGAAAGACACATAGATCAATAGAACAGAATAAAAAACCAGAAACAGCCACACAAATACTCAAGCAATTTTTTATAAAGGTGCAAAAACAGTGGAGGAAAAAAAGCCTTTTCCACAAATGGTGCTAGAGTAGATGGACATTCACAAATGAAGAAATGAACTTCTATCGAAGTCTCACAACTTATACAAAAATTAACCCAAAATGTAATTTTAAAATGAAATCAAAATTAAATGTAAAACTTAGAAAAAACATGAGAAAAATCTTTGGGACTGATGGCCAAGTGAAGAGTTCTTTGTCTTCATACCAACAGCAGATTCATAAAAGAAAAATGGGATAAATGAACAGGCAGGATTGCATAAAAATTTATGACTTCTGTTCTTTTCACAATCTTAACAGAGATTAAGTATGAAGCTATGTACTTGGATAAAATATTTGCAAACCATATACCTGACAAAGGACTGCTTTGTAGAATATATTGGGAACCCTCAAACTCAATAGAAAAACAATTCAGTTGAAGAGTTAAAGGCAAAAGACTTGAAGAGACATTTCACCAGAAGAGGAAATACATATGGTAAATAAGCACAGGAAAAGATGTTCAACATTCTTATCTACTAGGGCTATGCAAATTAAATCAGAATGGGGGTGTCACTGAACATCTATCAGGATGACTAAAATGAAAAATAGTCATAATATCAAGTGTTGGCAGCAACGAGGGATTGGGTCACTCATTTCTAATGAAACCAAGCACACATTTCCCATAATGATTCAACAGTTGCATTTATTCCAGAGAAGTGAAAACTTATGGTCACATAACACCCAGTGCATGACAGTTTCACTGTAGCCTGATTCATAATACCCTCAAACTGGAAAGAGTCCAGATGTCCTTTAATGAGTGAGTAGTTAAGGAAACTATGGCGCATCCATTCCATACCACATAATACTATTCAGAAGGAAAAGGAAAGAACTTTTGATACATTCACTAACTTAGATGAATCTCCAGTGAATTACGCTGAGTGAGAAAAGCCAATCTTAGAAGTGTCATATTGTTAGACTCCATTTGTATAACATTCTGGGAATGACAGAACTGTAGAAATGGAGAAGAGATTCATGATTGCCAGCAGTGGGAGGAGGATGGAAGGAGAGGGAAATGGGTATGGCAACACAAGGCCCCAGGAGCAATCCTTTGTGTTTGTGGAAATGTTCTGTAGCATGCCGTCTTTCAGTGTCCTGGTTGTGATACTGTGCTTAGTTTTATAAGATGTTACCGTTGGGAGTAACTGGGTTAAGGAAACACAAGATTTCTTTGTATTATTTCTTAAAACTGCATGTAATCTGAATTTATTTCAAAATAAAAAGTTTAATTAAAAAAAGATAAATCAGGGCTACCACCACTAATGAAAAGAAATACTCGTTATTAAACCGACAAATCTTCCTAAGTATCAAATCTTCCTAAGTTCAACCTACAAATGTTATAATTTTTAAAAACCCTTGTAAAGGAGGTTTTGGAACTTGGTTAATTAAATTCCCTTAAATTGTTTAAGCTACATTTAAAATTTAATATATACATTTTCACTTTCAAAAAGTTCACTTGTTCTGATTAACAAAACCATTGGGCATGTAATGTAATTCTTGTATATCTAATAAATAAACTTCTAAATGTGGATAATCTTATGTTCTCTTAAAAGTTGTGGTAATTTATATACATTTAATAAGATTGTGTTAAACCTTGCAACTTAAAACAAATCTAAATCAAAATCTCATATACGTATTTTGAATTAGAATCACAAGGGACTTCCCTGGGGTCCAGTGGCTAAGACTGAATGTAAGGGGACTGGGTTCCATCCCTGGCCAGGAAACTAGATCCTACATGCCACAACTGAAGATCCTGCATGCTGCAACAAAGATCAAAGATCCTGCATGCTGCAACTAAGACCTGGTGCAGCCAAATAAATAAATAAAAATAAATATAAAAAAATTAGAATTACAAGAGTAATGTATTAATCACTCCACCTCTCAGTTTCAAGTAAATATCAGATAATTCATAACTTTAACTCAAAATTACTCTAATTTGCCTTGTCACCTCAGTACTTAATACTAAATAACAGATATCAATCCATTAAAGAAATACTATTTTTAAAAATGAACTGGGCTGCACCTGTAACAGGGCCTTTGAGGGCAGCATTTGTGATGGTTTGTGTGATTTGCCTCACGTGGGTGCAGGGCACGCCAAGAGGAAACTGGGATTCTTGGAACATGCCCTCTGAGTGTCTTCTGCTCTGAATTATTTTCATATACTTCATATCTGGCAGGACCACAGCTTTTACAGGTATTTCAGAGACAGTGTTTTGCTTGGCTCCTGTATCTTTATCTGATGCTGTGGTCCTGATCCCAGTTCTCAGGTCACTGGTAATAACAATGACAACTGGTAATTTATATTTGCACTGAATATGTGTTAAGCGCTTTTCCAAACACTTTAAAGGACAGTAACTTCTTATTTAGTCTTCATGACAATCCTGTGAGGTAGGCATGATGATGATTCTTGTATTATAGAGTAATGGGGAAGAGAGGGGCAGAGAGGTCATGTGAGCTGCCAGATTCAAACCCAGGCTGTCTGGCTCGTTAGTTATTGCTTTTAACCCCTTTCCCTCCTGAGCTTACCATTGGCCAGCTTGGTGGGAGAGATGAGGGTGTCTGGCCATCTCCCACTGCTACCCATCACTGCCCCTCTGTTCAGCCGCACAGTCAGTGTGGTATGTGGAAGTTCCCTGGGCTTCGCTGTCCTTTATAACAAGGACCAAAGTGGGGCCTGGGAGCTTATTGATGGATGTGAGCTTTGGCCTCTGTCTCACTGTCATACATTCTAAGGCCATGAGTGGATGCAGTTGGGGCCTGGGCTGTTTGACTCTTTCTCCTGACTCTCTCTCTGTCCTTTCCCATGCCCTAGGGTGGCAATCCAAGCCTACTTTGTGGATGACAAGCCAGCCGAGGAATCCACTAGAGCTGCGCAGAGGAAAGTTGGACTCTGGGAAGACGCAGGCCACAATCCGACTAATGAGAGTATGAGCATCCTCCCACGGGCACTGGGGGCCAGGGCCGGGGGTGGGGGATGGTAATAGCAAACATGGGGATGGTGATAGCAAACATGCCCTGAGCACTTCGTGGGTGCCTGCCTGCAATCTTGTTCTCCTCACAGCAACCCCATGGGCATACTTATCATCAGCCCTATTTTACATCAGGGAAAACAGGTGCATGGATGCAGTACCAGGGGTCAAAGTCAGTTAGGCAAAGATTTGCCTTTGTGTTTAAGATTCAGGAAAATGATTGGAATAATTTTATTTCACTGCATTAGGAATACAATCTAGTGACTTGTTCATTTAAAAACTCTGGGAAATTAACCTTTCATGAAATACAGTGCATCTTGAAGCAAGACTTAGGAGCTTCCTATTAAAACTTTTCACATCAACTGATAGAACTTTTGATCATTGATTTTCTCAAAATCTGTTGTTTATTATGGCTTCTGAACAATGTTTCAAAGTATTTGAAATGAACCAGAAGAAGTAGGGGCATTAGTGTCCATAGCAGAAAGTGACATACCAAATACTATAAATACTACAAAATATTATAGAAGAGTTCTTAACTTCTTCAGGAAAGTTTTTAATAGCTCAGTGAACAATGATTGCTATATAAAGAAATAAGGAGAAATGTATTTGCCTTGAAATCGTTTTTTCCTCTTTAACCTTCAATTTTTCAAAAATCAGTTATTAGAGGCAGTCCAGTATTCTTAAAGGAGGAACTCATATTTCTGATGTTATTTTTATCCTGACTTTAGAAGGGTTATGTGTTTTTTGTGGGTTTTTTTGGGTTATGTGTTTTTGTTTGATATGAAACATGAACCTGGACAATTGGCTCTAAAACCTGTTCTCCTAACCAGTTCCTAATACTCTCTCTCATAATCATTCGTTTAGTCAACAAATATTTGAGCATCTACTGTGTCCCAGACCCTGTTCTAAGTGTGGGAATTCACCAGTGATGTGACCTCTGACCTTAAGGAGCTCACAGTCTACAAGGGGAGACAGATAACAAACAAGATAGATAAAAATATGATATGTGTAGTGAAGATAAGAGCTATGAAGAAGTATAAAATAAGGTTAGGGGGCTAAAGGGGCACAGAGGAGGGGGTGGCCATGACCGTTTTAGGAGGGTGGTCAGGGAAGGCTGTCAAGGTGGTGACATCTGAGGCAGGAATGCTCCAGGCAGAAGAACTGGAACTGCAAAGGCCCTGAGGTTCATAGCCCGGGCTGCTATTGCTGTGTGCAGAATGGGCTGTGGGGACAACGGGGAACAGAGCAAGAATGCAGAAACGACCCAGTCGGTTTGTTCTTGGAGTTGGAGTAGGATTTTGACTCTGCCCCTCAGCCTCAGGACAGTTTTTTATTCAAGCAACAACTCCTGAGAGTGCCAGCGATGTGTCAGGCACCAAGCTAGGTGCTGGGGAGATAGCCATGAACATGATCCCAGAATCCGTGCTATGATGGAGCTTATACTTCAGTGGGGAGACAAATAACAAATTAAAAAAACCTCCAAAGAATATTTACCCATCAGTTGATTAAGCCCACCCTTATGGAGCTCTAGGCACTGTTCTGTGTGTGTGTTGGAGATACAGCTGTGACAAGATAACCAAAGCCCCTGCCATCCTGCCTGTAAAATTCTAGTTGGGAAGACAGACAAGAAAGAAGAAAATAAGAAAAATACGTTGGGACTTCCTTAGTGGTCCAGCGGTTAAGACTTCTTTCAATCCAAAGAGGACTTCCCTGGTGACTCAGGGTAAAGAATTCGTCCGCAATGCGGGAGACCGTGGTTCCATCCCTGGGTCGGGAAGTTCCCCTGGAGGAGGGAATGACAACCCACTCGGGTATTCTTGTCTGGAGAACCCCATGGACGGAGGACCCTGGCGGGCTACAGTCCATGGGGTCGCAAAGAGTCAGACACGATTGAGCGACTAACACACAACCATAGTTCACTGATTCTAAGAAGCCACTGGTCATAAGGGGCACCTTTATCTTAATAACCCACTAATAAAATATTTTTCAACTAGACTATAACACGCCACCAGCTGTAAGATACAGCTCCACCCCAAAGTGTAAAATTATGGGAAAATGGGTGTTTCAGAAAGGATAAAATAATTCAAGGTGCTCTGACCTGCAGACAATAGAGAACCGCCGCCTAGCTCGGGTGGCATTTATCAGTCGGGGCCACAAGGGGGCGGATTGCGGCGGGAGGGACGTGGTCCCTGGGCTCCGGGAGGTGCCAGCCGGCCCCGCGCACCGCCGCCTCCCTTCGCTGTCTCTCCGCCCGCAGACAATGCTTCGGAACCGGCGAACCTCGTACCAGGAGCTCTGCGACCACGAGGACTTCCTCACCAAGCTCTGTGGGGAACTGATCAAGGCCATCCAGGACACAGAGGACAGCGGGGCCCTGAAAGTGCGGATGCTGCTGCAGCAGCAGGACGTCTACATGGTGATTCTCCCCGCCGTGGCCCCGCAGTCCCGCCGCCGCCCCGAGCCGCCCTCCAGCCCGCGACACCGCCCCTCCCGAGCCCTCGGGCGCCCTCTCCTGCTTTCTGCCGGCCTCTCCCGGCCGGTTGCAGAAGCTACTTCCTCCGTCTGGAAGACAGCATCTTTTATACACTCCACTCTCCCCGCCCCCCGCACCCCGACCTAGACTGGGGGTGGGGTGGGGACTCATCCCAGTTCACTAATTAGCTGGAAGACTCCGAGTCAACCTCTGAGCCCCATACAAGTGGGGCACAATAGCGCTCACCCAGAAAAGGAGTTGCACCTGGCACACAGGAGGTGTGGGCTCCAGTGTGGGGTTGGGTCTGGGGACTCCTCTGAGGAAGTACTGAATTCTCTGACGGTCCTTGCTTTGGCAGCACCAGTGGAAGCGGGGGTGGTGGGGTGGTGGTGGTGAGCTAACGCCTCCCCCCCCACCCAACTCCCATAGACCATCACTGACATCTTGGAGTACTTCAACAAGAAGAAGCTGCACCAGATGAAGTGTGAGCTCCAGGAATGGGAGGAGAAGGAGGAATCCAAGATCCATAGTAAGAATCTCTCCGTGGATTAGTTGACCCTCACCTGGCTCTCTAGGGGAAGCCATCAGGCCCACCACCTCACTTCTGAGGCAGAGGGGATTGCTAAGATGCACAGCGACAGCTTACTTATCACTTAGCACTTGCAGGCCCTATGTGCTTTTTTTTGCGGGCATACTTGCAGTCCTTACTATCTCTAAGGCAGGGAAGTTTTTCTTTTCTCCCATTTTACAGATGAGGAAACTGAGGCTAAAGGAAGTGAAGTAGCCTGCTGAAAGTTATACAGCTAGGAGCCAGCATCCAACCCCAGCCTGTCTGTTTCCTGCCAAGGTTCCTCTGGGAGTTGGCGGCTGGGCAGATCACTGGTCACAGATTTGTTGAGCCTGTGTTTTTTTCCCCTGGTGTGTCAGGCAGCTTCAGACACTTGGGATCCCCTCCATGGAGGGTGGCAGGATAGACTGCTTTTATTTATTTATTTTTTTGGCTGAGCAAGGTCTTCGTTGCAGTGTGCAGGCTCTTCGTTGCAGCTCTCGGCCTTTCTCTAGTTGCGGAGCACAGGCTCTGGAGTGTACAGGGTGCAGTAGTTGCAGTTAGTAGGCTTCTCTAGTTGTGGCATGTGGGCTTAGTTGCCCTCCAGCATGTGGGATCTTAGTTCCCCGACCAGGGGTCAAATCCTCATCCCTTGCATTGGGAGGCAGATTCTTAACCACTGGACCACCAGGGAAGTCCCAGCATAGGCTGTCTTAATTCTTCCCTGTCACCCCATCTCCCTAGGATCCCGAGGATCAGGCACCGGGATAGTTTGTCTCCTCTTTTGGGTAGGTTGTTGCTTCTTCTCCTGTGAAGGCAAAGCGTTTTCTGGGGGCTTACCCCTCCATCACCTTCCAGCCGTGTTTGGGCTTGTTTCAGCCCAGACCCCAATCCAGATGAGATCAGGCATGTTCAGGGTGGCACAGCTGTAGACCCAGACCCCAGCCCACTGGCTAAGGAGAGCTTTGCCTCTCGGGTGGCTCTGGAGTGGTCCTCGAGGGACGACCCTGCCCTCTGTCCCTCCTGATCTCGTCAGACCTGAAGCAGCAGGTGGAGCAGCTGGATGCCCAGATGGAGAAGGTCCGTGAGCAGGTGAGCTTCATGAGCACCTACAAGGACCACGAGTACCCCATCAAGTTGGTACAGGTGGCCAACCTCATGCGCCAGCTGCAGCAGGTGAAGGACAGCCAGTTGGTAGGTGAGCCCCTGGTTTTGCCTCACCTGACCTTGTGGGAGGCAGGGTTGGTGGCCAACACCTTCCTGCCGACCCCTAGGATGAGCTAGATGAACTCAGTGAGATGTGCAGGATGGTCCTGGCGTCTATGTCCAACCAGATTCAGAATAAGAAAAAAAACCTCCTGAGGTCTCTGGTGGTGGTGAGTAGCTAGCCACTGTGGCAGTTATCCGGGTCCTGCCCCCAGCCCTGCTTTCTTAACCCTGTCCTCTGCCCTCAGGCCCACCACATGCCCATCTGCTACCCAGGGCAGGGGTAGACACTGGGGCCAGTCTAGGGGGCCAGACTTCTAGGGGGCCCTTTCTAGGGGGCCAGAAGAAGATTTTCCTTCTTCCACAGAAAATCCAGCGTGCCAATCAGGAGACTCTCGTGCAGAAGACCTGGAATACCCGGGTTATACTGAAATACATGGACAAGTTCCGAGAAGTGAGTGGGTGGCAATGGTGGTGGTCCCCCCTGTGTGAGAGCAGAGGGAGTGGGTGGTCCCCAGGACCTCTGGGGCGGTCAGGCTTGTCCTGATCTGGGGCTCATGAGGTCTCTGGTGTTTGTCTTCCTCCTTGGCTGTGCTATTAATGTCACTCACCTTCCATCTGAGAAGGGAATTTGTCCTGGAGTAGGCCTTGCCTCATTAACCAACACCACCAGCCTTGACCCATCGGCAGCATCACCAAGCTTCACCCACACAACCATCACTTTACTATCACTACCCACTCCTTGTCTTCACCTCTTAATTCTTGACATTGACCATCACTCAAGACCATGTTAATGAATTCCATGATCACCACCCTCTGATGGTAATTTTCGTTATCTTGCACCTTTATCAGTTGTCTGCGTGAATGACCTTCATCACCTCCACCAACCCCCACTCGTTCTCACTGTTGAGCACTGCCACCCCCTGCAGTCTGTCTCCCCTCACCCTTTTTAGCACCATCAAATGTTGTCAGTAACTCATGAGCCAGCCCTGCCCTGCAAGGTGAGAGCCCACTTTGGAATCCAGAAGTCCCAATGACAAAGCCCAGGCCGTTTCCCTAGATGTCCTTATTCATGCATTTTGCCCTTTTCTTCTATTGGTTGGAGGATGTTTGGCTTCTTACTTTCACCTGCTTTCCTCAGTTTATAGACCGTTTTGAGGAGGAAATACCCAGATTAAAGGCTGAGATGGAACAGCTGGAAGTTCAGATGTGGGAACCCCGAGAGATCGTATTTGCAGACGTTCTACTTCGGAGATCCAAGTAGGTCGTCCTTGAGCAGCACCTCTTACACTAGCCATGCTCTGGGCTTGAGCAAGCTCTCTGTTCTTGGGGGGCAGCCTGGGGGAGAAGGCAGGACCTGTGCAAGGGGGCAGGAGAATGGGTGTTTGCCACTGACCGTGCGGTAGCTGTGGCCTTTTGCCATCTCTTGGCCTGAGTGTGTCTGCACATAGCAGGCTGAGTTAGGTAATCTCCCTGGACCCTTCCAGTTCCAGACTCTGTGTCTCAACCAAGCAGGTGTACCCCTGAGCTCCCAGGCTGTTCAGGAAGAGACTGTGTTGAGTAGGATGGTTGGCTCCAGGGAAGAATGGCCTGGAAGGCACTCTGCGAGGAGAGAATGATGTTCTCTCTGTGGGGCAGACTTCTGGGACCCAAAGGAAGAACTTCCTTCCAAAACCAATTCCCTGCCCGACCTCCCCGGGGGCAGGCCCTCCCTGTTTGAGCATGAGGATCCCCCCAGACCATGCCTCTCCAGGTGGGGTAGTTCCTGCCATTTGCCAATTATTTTTCTTCTCCTTAGCCTCTGTGTCTGTCTCCTTCTCTTCCTCTCCCTTTCCTTCTTGCTCCTCTACCTCTTCAGTCTCCTCTTAAGTTTCCTTAAAAAGTGCTATCAGATCTACGACGGGCCTAGGAAGCCCCAGGCATGATGAGGGCAAACAGTCCTTGGCTCTGCCACCGCAGAGCTGAGGATGGGACCAGATGTGAATCGATAACAAACCACAGATAAATGTTGCAGCTGAGATGAGAGCTGCTAAACAAGAGGTGTGAGTGTGGTGACAGGAGAGCGTGGCCTGGACAGAGAGGTGTCAGGAGTGGCGAAGAGGTCTCCCTAAAAATGCGGCCTTTTTTTTTTCTGACCGTGCTGGGTCTCCACTGTGGCACACGGGCTTCTCTAGTTGTGGCGTGTGGGCTTAGTTGTCCCACGGCATGTGGGATCTTAGTTCCCAGACCAGGGATCGAACCTGCATCCCCTGTATTGGAAGGCAGATTCTTCACCACTGGACCACCAGGGAAGTCCTGAGAATGTGACTTTTTAAACTCAAGTCTGAAGGATTATTCATAGAAGCTCACTGGGCCAAGGGGGCTGAAGGGGAAACTGAAGGAAGAATGTTTCTAGGTGGTGGTGCTGGCATCTCGAGATGTGCTAAGTAGGCCCCATTGTCCCTACCCGCGCTCTGGACACCCTGAAATAAGAATGAAAGGGGCAAGGTGACATGGGCCAGACTCTCACTTTTACCTGATAGAGCTGATTTTAGAGAAGGTAGCTTATATCTCTGGGCGTGTTGGCTTCTGAATACTAACCTGGAATTAGGCAAATGGAGTTCTGTGGTCAGTTGCTTGGGAGCAAAGGAGACTGTGGTCCTTGCAGGCTGCTCATTACTGACAGAGCCTGGGGCAGGGCTACCCAGGCCCCATTCCTCTCTCCAGACTCCGTTCAGGTTGTTATACCTCCTTCCCGGGCAGAGTGAGTAAAGAGATGGAGAGAGACCAGGAGCAGTATGCCCATTGATGGTGTATGCCCATTGATGACAGTATGCCCACTGATGCCCTTCCAGGGGCAGGGAGATGCCAGGAGTGGGAAGAAGCTGTCTCCTCCTAGAATGTGGGAATGGCATGCTGCTAAGTAGAACTTTTCCATCCAAAACATGCACTGGAATCACCTGGAGATCTTGTCGATAAGAAGATTCTGAATCAATAGGCCTGGAGTGGGGCTCAAGAGTCTACATTTCTAAGCAGCTCCTGGGAGATCCTGAGGTGCTGATCCCTGGACCACAGGCTGAGCAGTGAGGCTGTAGATATGTGGTAGGAGGGAAGTTGGTATTTATGGGGAGCTGAGTGAGGTTGGACTGCAGAGTGATAGGGAGAGTAATGACATCCCCGCCCCTAGGGACTTCCATGCAGGGCCCTGTAGACCAAAGATATTTGATCCTGAAAGCAGATAACTTTTTTTCCCCCATACTACTTGGCATACAGGATCTTAGTTCCCCAACCGGGGATCAGACCTGTGCTCCCTGCAGTGGAAGTGTGGGGTCTTAACCACTGGACCACCAGGGAAGTCCTAAGTAAAGACTTTTCAAGCTCAGTGATGACATCAGATTTGCATTCCAAGAAAAGACACTTTGAAAAGAATATGGAGAAGATATTGGAGAGGCCATGTTGGGAGTCCAGTTGGTTGTGATGGCGGTTGTGTGTGGAGCGGGTGGTTGGGAGTGACTTGGCCAGGATGGATGGCAGAAGAGAGAGGAGAGATGGATGGAGTGGAGAAATATTTAAGAAGATAAATCTGTAGGACTTGGTGATATTTGGATATGGGAAGCACAGTACAGGGAGGTGTCAAGAATGACCCTTGGGTTCCTGGCTTTTGTAACAGTGTGGGTAGTGGTACCAAACCCAGAGACACTGGGACTAGGGGAAAAGGATGCATATGTAGGTCAATCAGCACTTGATTTGGACACTGAGTTTAAGTTATGGAGACCTGAGTGTGGAGCCGACAGGTAGGGAGCTGGAGGTATAAGTGTAGATCTCAGAAGACAGACTTTGGCTGGAAATGGAAATTTTGGCAATGCCAGTACAAGCTGGAATCAAGGTTGCTGGGAGAAATATCAATAACCTTAGATATGCAGATGGCAGAAAGTAAAGAGGAACTAAAGAGCCTCCTGATGAAGGTGAAAGAGGAGAGTAAAAAAGCTGACTTAAAACTCAGCATTCAGAAAATAAAGATTATGGCATCCAGTCCCATCACTTCTTGGCAAATAGATGGGGAAACAATGAAAGCAGTGACATTTTATCTTCTTGGACTCCAAAATCACTGCAGACAGTGACTGCAGCCATGAAATTAAAATACACTTGCTCCTTGGAAGAAAAGCTATGACAAACCTAGACAGCATATTCAAAAACAGAGATATCACTTTGCTGACAGAGGATCGTATAGTCAAAGCTATGATTTTTGTAGTAGTCATATATGGATGTGAGAATTGGACCTTAAAGAAGGCTGAGAGCCGAAGAGTTGATGCTTTTGAACTGTGACTGAGAGACTGAACGACAGTGCAGAGATGCATTTTTTTTTTTACTATTACTTTGAGCGATTTCAAATGTATAGAAAAGTTGAGAGAATACTGTGATGAGTACCCAGTTACCCATCTAGTTTTAGAATTTGTTATATTTTGGCCGGCTTCATCTTCATTTCTTCTAGACCCTCCCCATTTGCCAGGTGAGGAAACAGAGTCTCGCCTGGGGTCTGTCCCCAGTGAAGGCGGGAGGCTTGGCGAGGAAAAGCAGTGTGTTTGAGGCGACACAGAGCCAGGCTTGCAAGATGGTCATTCTGACTCCAGAGAGAGCGCGCATCTTGAAGGACCCCAGAGCTTGAGAGCTGAGCTCCTGCTCCCTGTTGACCTCAGACCTCTGTAGGGGAACATGAGTCCTGCCAAACCAATTCCTGTTTCATTTTGATGTCTGTGTGTGTGTGTGTGTGTGTGTGTGCGCGAGCGCACAGGTTGTTTTGGAATGGGGCTCCCCAGTACCAGTGTTCTAAAGGTCAGGTTTCCCCTGAGGCCATGCGCCCCTACCTGCAGCTCTAGTGCCTGGCCTTTTACACCCCCACTTTGCTCTTCCCTACAGGTGCACCCCCGACATGGACGTCGTCCTCAATATCCCTGTGGAAGAGCTGCTGCCCTTCTAGATGGTGGGGCTGGGGGCCAACCCTCCTTCCCTGGTCTCTTCCCCCTTCCTGGAGCCTTGAGTTCTCTCCTAAGGCCACGTCCCTGAATGGGGGCCAGCCTGCTGTTCCTTCCCTCCTCACTCCCTCCCTCTTTCCCCACTTTCTTTCCCCCTCTCCCTTCCTTTCTTCTTTCCTCTCCTGCCCCTCATTCTTTCTTATTGGAGCTGCTACTTGGGCCAAGTAGGAATTCCTAGGCGAGTCCTTTTTACCAATAAAGTTGGGCTTGCCCTGGTCTTTGCCAGTGCCTGGGGCTTCCTAAGGCATGGTAGGAATAGATTTTGTCTTAAGATAAGAGGTGGATAACTGTGCTGCCTGCACCTGGGACTCAGAACTTCTCAACAAGTGCTGGAGGGACCCCCCTGCCTGAGTCTCCATGGTTCTGTGGCCCCAGCCGCCCCCTCCCTGGTGCAGTGGGAGCCCAGTTTTCCCTCTGATTTGTGCCCAGATTTTTTGAGACCAGTGCCTGGGTGGAGGGGGGTCGCCTGGAATTTGATACCCCTGGGAACTTGCTGAACCTTCACTGCTGCTGTCCATCTCTCTTACAGTCCAGTCGTCTGTCTGTCCACCGCCTGTATTCTCACTGTACATGGACATGAACGCCAACTCACCCTCGGGTGCCTGGTCAAGCACTGTTCCCCACCACATAGTCTTCCAAGGTGAACTTAGAGGGCTGATGCTTGAGCCCCTTTCAAGCAAGGGCTTGTTGCTCGGGTTACTGGGAGGGGCATTGGCAGGCATCCTCCATCTGCCAGTCCCATCGGGGTTTGTGTGAGGTGCAGAGAGCCCGGCCCCTTCCCGCCTCTGATGATGCTCAATGTGCAAACATCAAAGGCTCCTCTGGCTCCACAGCTCTCTGGAGGGTTGGTGGAAACTGCCCCTGGGTCTGCACTGTAGCTCAACTTCCTTGTCTTCCTAGCCCTGCCTAGCCCTCTCTTCTCTCCCTCAGCTGATCCCAAGGACACTCAGTAATCAAAGCTTGTACCCCATGCTCTGTCTCAGAGTTGGCCTCCCTGGGGACCTAGTCTACCCCCTATTCCCAAGAGCCTCTGATGTCTCACCGATCCACTCTGTGTGTTGGGAGACTTTGGATTACAGGTGACAGAACACCCAAGTCAAATTGGCCTAAACAGTAAAGGGCTCAGGTACATACGTCTAGATGAGGTGAGGCTTTAACCAGAAATCAAGTGATGACACCAAGGACCTGGTTCCCCCTTTCTCCTTAGTTTTCCACGTGTTTCCCCTTGCTGAGGTCAGCACTCCTTGTGGTCCCAGAATGGCTGCCAGCATCTCCTCGGGTGTTATGATTCTTTGTTCATGTCCTGCTAGAAAGAGAGAGTGTCTGTATCCCAGAATTTTCAGCCAGTGTCTTTAAGAGTCACTATGACTAGATCAGATCACAAGCCCACCAGGAATCAGCCTAGGAGGTGGAGAACACCTGCTAGTTTAGTCTAGACCCCTGGAGCAGGGGAAGGTATGGACGGGCTGGGCACATGACCCAGGCTAAGCCAAAGGCACCCCTAGAAGCATGTGGATCTCCAAACAGAAATGGACAGTGTTGAACATCATCATAGCAAATGCTTAGCTGGAACTTCTTTCATCTGTCAGCTCATCAAATCCTCACAGGAACAACCCTAGGAGGTGGGTATTGTGAGCATTTTCATTTTTACAGAGGAAGAACCCAAAGCATAAAGCTGTTTAGTGACTTTTTCGAGAGTCACCAGGCTGAAAGTGGTAGAGGCAGCTCACTTTTAATCAGTGCAGGGGCAGAAGCTCAGCGGGCTGGAGAGAGCTGAGCCACCAGGAGTCGTAGGAGCCAGTTAAGACAAGTCCAGGACGTCCCTGGTGGTCTAGTGGTTAAGTGCAGTGGACACAGGTTCGATCCCTGGTCTGCGAAGATCCGGTGAGCCACAACTACTGAAGCTCACATGCCTGGAGCCCCATGTGCCACAACATGAGAAGCTGCCACGATGCGGAGCCCGTGCGCAGCAGTGAAGACCCAGCACAGCCAAAAAAAAAGAGTCCAGATGAAAGTAACAGTCCAGCTTCAATTGCTCACTTCTGGAGCATGAGGAAGAGGCTGCTAAACTGGAGAAGCACTGACATCACTCCCTTGAGTTTTCTGCTTGGGCTGAATGGCACCATCGGGTGGGGTGGGTCAGCACCAGGGATGTTCTCACTGCTGGCGGCCTGGGAACCTGGGGGCCAGAGTTGGGGATTGGGGTGGGGGTGGGTGGAGTGGGGAAGGGAGTGTAGGGAGGGCTAGGAGCAGGAGGGCCCTGAGTCCTGAGTCAGAGTGGAGACAAGGGTCTTCGAGGTTTCTCCTCTACCCCTGATAAGGGGGAGGCACCTGAGGGGGGCCTTGGCCAGAGGCTACCCCCTCCCTTGCTGAAGGTCTCTGGAGGAAGCTGCACGAAGAATGTAGGATGGGCCAGGGGCTTGAGTCCTTGGCTGTGACCCCTCAGAGACTGCATGCACTGGTGGGGCACCACGCTGGTGTGTTGGGGGTGGGCAGACTTCCCCGCCAGGCCTGCCGGGGAGAGCCTTTATAATGGCCTCTGGTTGTGCCTGAGAAGTGAACAGGTGTGCACTAGTCTATGGGGCTTCCATGGTGGCTCAGCCGTAAAGAATCAGCCTGCAGCGCAAGAGACAAGGATTCAGTCCCTGGCTTGGGAAGACCCCCTGGAGGAGGGCATGGCAACCCACTCCGGTATTCTTGCCTGGAAAACCCCATGGACAGAGGAGCCTGGTGGGCTACAGTTCATGGGGTCACAAATAGTTGGACAGGACTGAAGTGACTGAACATACACACACACATGCGTGCGCGCGCATACACACACACACACACTCTTCGGGCTTTCCCAGGTGGTGCTAGTGGTAAAAAGCCCACCCGCCAATGCTAGAGACATAAGGAAAGTGGGTTAGATCCCTGGGTCAGGAAGATCCCCTGGAGGAGGGCATGGAAACTCACTCCAGTACTCTTGCCTGGAGAATCCCATGGACAGAGGAGCCTGGTGGGCTACTGTCATGGGGTCGCAAAGAGTTGGACACGACTGAGGAGACGGCACACACACACGCATGCACACTCTATTTAAAAATAGATGAATGACAAAGACCTACCCTGTAGTACAGGGAACTATATTCAATATCTCCTAGCAACGTTTAATGGAAAAGAACCTAACGTCTATAAATATCATATATATATATACACACACACACATATATATGCATGTATATATATATCTCACTTGGCTGTACACCAGATACTAATATAACATTGTAAATCAACTATACTTCAATTAAAAAAAATACTTTAAAAAAGTCAGGCATAAGTTTTTGGCCAGAAGCTGGATTCCTTGTAGTGAGGGGATGAATTAGTTTTGAGGGGGAAAACCACATGGGTTCCCTGACGTCAAGCACAGCTGTGGTGCCTCCAGTTGTGACAGAGAGTGACCCCATACGTGCACAGCTGTGTATGAATGTTCTCTCACTTTTCAGAGCTTCACATGGGTGGATCCTCATGTGCACATGTGCACACAGTTACACACCAGGACGGCCCTTATCAATAAAAGGACTGATTGTGTCAGTCAGCTTTGTCCCCATTGGCACGGCTGCATGCGAAGCACCTGCAGGGCTCAGTGGACTGCAGCAAGGAAAGTTTATCCTCTACTCAGGGTCCTCAGGTCGACTGCACTTTGGCTGAACTCAGCTGGGCTGGTTGGGCAGCTCTGCTTCAGGTTGGGGGTCAGCTGGGTTTGGCTCCAGACTGTGGATCAGGCTCAAGGATACTCCTGGGCTCTGGAGTTATCTGGGGTGTGCTTTTCTCAAGGAGGATCCCGGGAGCAAATGAGTGAGGTCTTCACTTAAGACCTCTGCTTTCAGATGTGCGAGCATTTCTCTGGGCAAAGGAGGTTGCAAGCCCAGGGCCCAAATGACTTAGGGAGGGAGGTAATCCCCCCGCCACACCTCCCTTCACCTACCCATGCAAGGGTGAGGCGAGTGGATGTGTGCCGAACAGTAAACTAGACGATCATGCTTTTCTGTCTATAGAGGCAGGGACTGAGCTCCTGGCATTAGTTTTCTATTGCTGTTGTAACAAATTGTTTCAATCTTAAATAAGGCAACACAGATTTATTATCTGACCTATCTGTAGGTCAGAAGTCTGACACAGATCTCAGAAGGCTAAAATCTAAGGGTCATCAGGGCTGTCTTCTTTACTAGAGGCACTAGGGGAGATTCTATTTTCTTGCCTCTTCCAGTTTCTAGAGTTGCCTGTGTTCCTTGGCTTGTGGGTCCTTCCTCCATCTTCAAAACCAGTAACAGCAGGTTGAATCCTTCTCCCATCACATCACTCTGGCCTCCTCTCCTGCCCTTTCTTCTACTTTTAAGGACTCTGTAATGACACTGGGCCCACCAGGATAATGCAGAGTAATCTCTTCATTATAAGGTCAGCTGGCTGGCAACCTTAGTTTTATCTACAATTATAATTCCTCTTTGCCACTCCCAGATTCTGGGGATAGTCTGTGGACATCTTTAAGGGGCTATTTTTGGCTCAGCTGGTAAAGAATCCACCTGCACTGCGGGAGACCTGGGTTCGATCCCTGGGTTGGGGAGATCCCCTGGAGAAGGGAAAGGCTACCCACTCTAGTATTCTGGCCTAGAGAATCCCATAGCCTGTATAGTCTGTGGGGTCTCAAAGAGTTGGACACGACTGAGCGACTTTCACTTTAGGGGGCTATTATTCCTCCTACCCCAAAGATTCATGTCTATCCTACAGGCAAAGTATATACTCACCTCTTCCCAAAGCCTCATCCTGTTATCGCATCAACTCAAAGGAAAAGCATCTCATCTAAAACCCATCACTTCAAAAGTCCCAAATATCATTTAAACCAGGTAGAGGGAGGCTCTGAAAAGACTTTATTCATCTCTGGACACAATTCCTTCCCACATGTGAACCCGTGAAACTCAAAAAACAAGTTATTTGCTCACAAAATGCAGTGGCGGGGTAGACATTAGATAAAAGTTAGAGACTTTCCCATTAAAAAGGGAGAAAACGAAAAAAGGAGTCACCGGTCCCAAGTGATTTCAAAATTCAACTGCTTTCTAGGCTTGGGAATAATCCTCTAGGCTTGTATCATCACAGAGTCCTTAAAAATAGAAGAAAGGGGCAGAAGAAGAAGCTGGAGTGTTTTGGGGAGGCCTTGCGGGGGCAGGGCATTGCTCGGCAGTCAAGCGGTCCTTGATAGCCTGCAAAGAATGGGGGGTAGAAGGGCAAAAGTTGTGGAAATTCTTAATTTTTGGAAATCATCCACCCAGGAGAGGGTTGCCACTGATTTGCTCTTCAAAGGGTGGGGATGATCTAGATTATTCAGAACAGCAGTCCCCAGGCTTTTTGGAATGAAAGATTGGTTTCGGGGAAGACGGTTTTTCCAGGGATGGTGTCTCTGAATGATTCAAGCATATTACGTTTATTTTGCAGCTGCTCCCCAGCACTAGCATCACAACCTTGGCTTCACCTCAGATCATCAGGCATTATATGCTCTTAAGGAGCACACAACCTAGATCCCTCATGAACATAGTTCACAGGAGGGTTCCTATGCATATGAGACTCTAATGCTGTGATCCCACAGGGGGCAGACTCAGGAGGTAGTGTGAGCATTGAAGAGACTGAATACAATTGCCTGTCACTTGCCTCCTGCTGTGTGTGCCCCCTCCCCCCATTCAATACTAATCCTTGGCCCAGGGGTTGGGGACCCCTGATCTAGAGAATCTACTTTAGCCTCCAAATATTTAAAAGCCCTCAGATCTTGTGGGGTAGATTTATGAAACAGGTTTGTGTAAAGCTCTCTAGCGGGGAGTCATTAGCCTGAGTGGGTCTGCTTCGTCCATTTTCTTCTCTCTGCCTAGAGACTGCTGCGTTCATGGAGGGGTTTCATCAGAGAATTCAGAATTTTGCACAGAAGAGATTAATTTACTCTGGGTGGGGAGGCAGACACATATTCAGAGGCTAAGTGCAGAAGCCAAAGCTTAAAAACACAATGGTCCAGTGCACCAAAGTGTCACTATTGATCTGGGGCAGCAGGGCTGGCAATCAGTTGTGCCTGGACTCTGCTTGTCTTAACTGAATGTGTTTATGCTGGGGTGTGTTGGGGGCCACTCCCCATCATCAGAGATGTGGGACCTGCCTAGATTGGTTGAGAAAAATGCCGGGGCAGTCTAAGCACTGCAGTGGTCCCAGGGTGTCACCTGGCGAGCAAACCCAAGAGGAAAGACAGAGCTTGCATGGGGCCCACGTGAGGCAGGGTCTGTTCTGTGCCACGGTTGAAATTAGGGTCCCAGCTCATGGTGGTGTCCTAGGCAATGCCGTTTCCTGTGGAGTCTTTCAAAGGGGTGATGTCGCCTTAGGTGAAATCCTGTGGAGAGGTGATGTTCTCTCATATGCTCAGGTGCAAGAGGGGAGACGCCCTGAATTGAGGCCATTAGGGCCTGGTTGAGTCTAGAGTGTAGTTATAATGGGGAATTGACCTCTGAACGACCTTGAGACATAGAGCCTTGTTGGGGAGGGGTCGCAGATCCACTAACATTTACACCATAGGTTAGTGTCCCCATTTGTCTGGTGCGGGGGTGGGGGGGCTTCCCTGGTAGCTCAGTTGGTAAAGAATCCACCTGCAATGCAGGAAGCCCCAGTTCAATTCCTGGGTTGAAAAGATCTGCTGGAGAACGCATAGGCTACCCACGCCAGTGTCCTTGGGCTTGCCTTGTGTCTCAGCTGGTAAAGAATCCACCTGCAATGAGGGAGACCTGGGTTCGATGCCTGGACTGAGAAGATCCCCTGGAGATCTTTACTGTCGTCAGGTGCATGGGAAGGAGACAGGGGCCAGGGCAGTCACCCCGGGCTCAGCCGGAATACATCCAGAGTGACACCACTTGTGGGGAGTTTCCAGGCCATATTATTTGAGGGTATTTTTCACATGTGTCAGTTTTAAGTTATTCTGCCCCCTAATCACTAGCCATACCATACTGTCTGCAGGGCTGGGTACAATTACCTTCTCTTCCTGTGAAAGTTCATAGTTATTACTGGCTTGAGTCAGCTCTTGTATCCTGGAATTTAGGCAAAGCTTCTGCCTGAAGCAGATTAGGATTCCA